AAACCTGGAGCATAAATAGTTCTACATAATTGTTGAATAAATGGGCAAAGTCTATGGAAGACTCTCTCACTCCTTTCACTGAAATATCTAGAGCCCTATTTACTGCAGACTTAGCCTTCATCTTCAACTCCTTTACCATCCATAAAATGGAAATATCACTCTCTGTGCAAAGACTGTGTTACCTTGCACCTATTTCAGGGATATTTTTCTCATATTCTGCTTATTTCTCACATAAACAGGAAAATTGTGAGTTTTGAAGATGGTTTTAAAACTCGCTTTTTCACTTCTATTTCTTTTGAGTTTCACATTGCTCAGTTATCACCTTCTGTTCTTCCTCATCTTTGATATCTAACAAGTTTTTATTTAACAAACACACACTGAAGCTGTGTGGAATATTTCTTCATCAAACCCATTTTCTTTTCCTCTGAGTCATATAGCTAGACTGTTGTCTCAGCTTCTCCAACTGCTATGTGTGACCATGCAATTGAGTCTGGCCAATGGAGTTCAAAGGATGTGATGTCATCATTTTCAGCTGAGCCCCATAAATGCTCTATCCTTCTCTTTCTCCATCTTCCAGCTCAGTATTATTTCCATAGTAACACTGCAGGTTACATGTGGAAAATGGCAGCTCCCCCACCCCCTGCCATCATCTTGTGTCTCTGAATGACTGTGTGGAGCAGAGCCCCTTGCTGCTGGTTGGATTTTAAATAAACTGGATAACTACTGGATTTGAAATTTACATGTTACTGCCCTTAGAGTTACCTTTGGTTATGCATCATGCTACTTCTCCATATTGATAAATTCTGCTATAATTGTAGAACTTTTAGGATTTTAAGACCAAAAAGTATACTAGCATTATAGTTCTTGGACCTTACCATGGGACAGCTTTCACTCTAATGTTAACAAACTTTACTTCCATTTCTGAAAACTAGAGAACCTAACATATTCTCTAATGTGAAGTTCTTGTACATCCAATTCTTTCTGTAATTTGTAACCTTAGTTATTTCATCAATACTAACCAGTCTTTTAACCTGTTCTTGTCTCCCCTTCCATTGTTCTCAGTAATTATTCTGAGTTCTCTTGTCTCATCTCAAACCTTTTATGCAGCCCACTAATTCCTACCTTCTCATATTCTTAGGTTTCCTGAGGCATTGAACCCATTATAGATCTCTCCTACAATAAAATAAATATTTGAATTACTTTAATTCTCATACCAAACCCTCTTCTACCTCAGTGACTTAGGAAATATATTGCAGACTCTGTAGATCATTTGAAATAAGTCACTTAATATCTTCGACTCATCTGTAAAATGGGATTTGAAATCTTTGAATTGACCATTCAGATCTATTATGATGACCAGATAAGGTAATATGTATGAAAATCCTGACTTTTTAAGGGATAATTACAATCTTCATCCATGATACTGTACTGTTTTCATTTCTAGTTAGACAGTGTTACCCCCATTATCAAATACGCTTTATTATGAAAAATTCCAGAATGTTAAGTTGGAAGATTTATGGGAACAAAAGTCTCTGTGGTCAGGAAATGGATGGTGATTTCTTAGTTTTATCATCATAGATTAAGTCCTGTGTTTAGTCATTCTTTGGATATTGTACTCATAAGGATACACATATATGTCATTCCTCATTGCCTCCAGATGCAGCAAATAAACAATCTCTTCACTATTGTTTTCACAGTTTGAATTTATAGGCTGGTAGCTAACAGTCGAATAAACAGCATTCATATCTCAACCAGAAAGTTCAGTTTACAAACTTCTCTCCTGATGTGTATGTTCAATGAACATGTTTGAACATCTATTATCTTTGAGGAGGTGCACTTGCAAAGGATATATCTTTAGGAGATATAACTTTAGGGGATATAACTAAAATGCAACTCCCATAAACTGACTAAATTGGAAGATGCCACCTATAAGATTCATACAGTTGCTCCAGCTGCACCTAGAACCCGTTCCAAATTCCTGTCTCCCTCACTTATTACACCCCATCAGTGAGCAAGTCTAACAATTTTATGAGCTAAATATTTCTCACATGTGTGCCTTTTTCTTTAAGGTCTTCAGCATTTGTCTCCCCATAAGTTGACCTTGCATATATCACAAGTTTTATGTCATATACCTATTACTTTTAATGTTATATTCAAACCAAGGAGAACTTAGTATAGTCTACAAATATGATTTTCTACATACCCATGGCTTTGCTCACATAGTTTTCTCTCACCAAAATATCTATTCTCCTATTTGTTTTCTGGCAAATATTATTTGGTTCTCTCCACTCACCAAATGATGTGCTTCTGAAATCTACCTGTAGACAATGCACAAACCTCAATCATTATGTTTACCATCTGTATAAATTGTATCTGTTTTTAGCTTATCTTCATTAGTAGACTTTGTTGCAGTGATATCTCAAAAGTAAGGATAGTATTAGGATCATCTTGGAATGCCCAGAAATGTAGTATTAACTTAGAATAAATCAAACTTAACATGGTCTCAATAAATATTTAACTTATCTTGCAATACTTGCTAGATCATTAATAAACAAAATAAATTTCCACTTAATAGATTGAAAGTAGAATTTTCAACTCTAACAATAGCTGTCAAAAGATAATAAATTTTCTTAATTTTTTAAACATTTGTTCATTTTTGGGAGTGAGAGAGACAGAGCATGAGGGAGAGGGGCAGAGGGAGTGGGAGACACAGAATCAGAAGCAGGCTCCAGGCCCTGCTGCACTTTCAGCACAGAGCCCAGTGCAGGGCTAGAACTCATGGACCGCGAGATCATGACCTGAGCTGAAGTCAGATGCTTTAACTGACTGAGACACCTAGGTGCTCCAAAAAAAAAAAATAATAAGGTAGTTCCCAAATACTGAAAGACATTAATTGTCATTCTAAAACTGTATTCCAGCTAAACTACCATTAAATAAGAGGATAAAATAAATGTACTCTCAGCGAAAATTAAAAAAAACAATTAAAGTGTTTCTCGAAGAAAATTTCAATGCAGTGTTTATCAAAGAATGCAACTGACCCAGAACAACACAGGTTTAAACTACATGGTCCCACTTTACTAGGATTTTTTCCAAGAAATACAGTACAGTATTGTAAATCTATTTTCTTTTTCTTATGATTTTCTTAATAACATTTTCTGTTTTCTAGCTTACTTTAATGTAAGAATACAGTATATAATACATATAACATATAAAATATGTGTTCATCGACTATGTAATCAATAGACTTCTGGTCAACAATAAGCTATCCAGAGTTAAGTTTTTGGGGAGTCAAAATTTACACACAGATTTTCAACTGGATAGGGGGTTAGCAACCCTAACCTCCGCATTGTTCAAGGGTCAACTATATGTTTTACTAAGACATTTCTTTAAAAAAGAAAAATTGATGTTAAAAGAATCTGTGAACAAGAGGTTGGCATATATGTGAGTGATTTCAAATAGCATCATCTGTATAAAATGCACAAGTAATGACAATGACTAACTTAGGGGTGAGAACCATGTTGGAACTAAAATACTTGACAGCAATGTGTACAGTGGCAAGGGGTGGGTTGTGGATAAGTCTTAAACATGCAAAGGCCTCAGATTATTTGATAGTAGAAATGTTAATTAAGATTGTTAAATTTTAATGGCAACCACTCTAGCATGCATGTAGAATGTTGATCTTCTGGACCAGCAAAATATGCATAAAATTACAGGAATACTTAAGTGGCTCAAAAGAATGTAAGAGGACAAAAAAAAAAAGAGCAGAGACATAGAGAAGTTACTACGAAACTTGCATTCAGGTGCTAGCAAGTCCCCAAATCTATTGGCAAAAAGTAGGTTTGGCAGTTAAAGAGCATAGATTTTTAGATTGGGAAAACTGTAAATGGAAATGTAATTTGGCAAGAACTTTGAAAAGTACCAGGACAATGGATACAAAAAGTTTCACATTGATTTCCCCTTTTTAACTACACAATACCATTTCTAGTAATTGACCCAAAAGAAATAATTAGAAATAGCACTCAAAGAAATACACGCAGACGAGACAAACATGAATACAAAAATACTTCACACTATGCAAAAAAACAAAAACAAAAAACACAGGTTCTCCAAACCCTTTCTTATTATAATAAGAACTAACATTTATAAATTTTAACTTTTATTTCTTTCCTTTCATTAGTACGTAGAAAAGGACTAAAAATGCCACAATATGAACAGAAGCCCTTTCCTGAGAATGAGCCATTGGGTGATCAGATTTTTTCTTCAATATTCTCTTCATATTTGCGACCATGAAAATGCATTGTTTTTGTAATCAGAAATATATTGTAATTTTTCTTCACTAGAACTCATAGTATGCTTTGAGTGTACTTCATAGGCGGTATAATTTGGTTGAGTCTAACACTGTCAAGAGAATTTACATTTGCACCTTTCCTTAAAGTCTTTCATGTATATGTGTGCATGCACATGTGTGAGCATTACTTCATACAAATTTTAGAAGAAGCTTTAGGTAGATATTGTTATTATCCATTTTCACAAATAAGGAGACTAAAGGTCAGAGATTGTAAGACTTAGCCTAATCCTTGCTATATAGATTCTGTGTCCTCTGTGCCAATTTCTTAAAATATGTATGGACCACTAGTATGTTTTCTAAATTTGTAGGTCAATTTCTATAAGGCTAATGAATGGCAGTTGTGATGGTTTGGTGAATATGCAAATATGTACACAGGCATCCCCTCTCAGTGAGTTCTTTCCCACCACTCTAGGAGCATGAGAGCCAAGCAGCTGTCCCGATGTAAATTCCTTAACAAGCTGTAACCACAGACATAAACACCTCTCACAAATGAGGAACCTTCTCATGACCATGTCACTGCAATTTTTGACAATTTCCCAAAGCCATTAGGAAACATTCCCCAATCTCACAGACAGTACTTGAGGTTTTGTGCTTTTTTGGTTTTTTCCCAGTGTGTAAAGAGAAGTAGGGGAAGATAAAACTGGACAGTTTCATGCAGTGTGGGACTTCTCAGCTACCTGCAGGAGGCGACATGTCTTTCGTCCTACTTTCTGTCCTCTGGCTCATCACTCAAACTCAAGGTAAGCACCATATTTTATACAAGAGTCGAATTACTTAGTGAATTTTAAAGTGCTCTTGAGAAAGTAACATGCTCATCTGACCCATCGATCACTGCATTTTTGTATATTTATTTAATTTCAGTATACTCCGTCCTCATAGTCAAGGTGTTGTGATTGATATAATAATTTAATTAGGATGTACCTGAAACTTACCTTTAATTCAATAATGCTACCAGATCTATAATTTTATTTTCTAAAACACACATCCCAAATGGCACCAGAGAATTAACTTCCAGACCAGCCATCAAGAATTTCCTCACCATCTCCAATGTTATCTTGAATAACATAGATATTTTCTACCTCATAAGGAGAAAATCATTTATCAAGACACGATTTGACCAGAAACTGTGTCAGGATGGATGACTCTTAAGTAAAATTAGCATCAAATTAGACATAATTGTATTATTAAGCAAAATTAAAATTAATTGGACAACTGAACATTTATAATAGGGTTAAGACTAAAATCTAGTTAAAATTTACTCTAATCTCAATCCCACAACTTTTTACACTAATTGGGTTCATATTCTCCATCAATAAAAGAAAAACTTCTAGTAATAAATTTATAAATTTTCTGTTTTCCTATGTAATGAATCTTTTCTTGGATAGCATCATAGCAGATCTTTGGGGGCTGGCTAGGAGAAAATTTTTGCTTGACAAGTTTCCTTCCAGTTCTTCACATGAGCCAGGTGTAAAACTGCTTGGAGTTCCCAAGGTAACCCTGTCTGTCAGTGGGAAATTGTCTCCAAGTACAGACATTTATCTTTGAAAATGGGAGCATTTAAAAACAAGACTGACCCTATATGGAACAATTAAAATAAAAAGTAGATAAGGCATACCTGCCACCTTCCTAGAGTGGCACTACATTATTTTATATATTTTATGTCATTCAATGTTTACACGGGCCTCCATTTTTAGATAAGTAAACCGATAGGAAAGAAAAATAGCTTTTATAAGGTCATTTAGCTAGAACTTAAGACCACATCTTCTGGCTCCAATATCAGTTCTTTCCCTACTATATGTAAGCAAAATAGGAAATGGTCTATGTAATGTTATACCAAGTGTATCAAGAAGGACATTTAGTCCACTTAGGCTACTTGCTATCTGGTTTTCCTACTTGCTATCTGATGCTTTAAAACTGCTTCAGCAGAGATAACAAAAATTCTGTCTCTCTGTGAAATCTGGAGTCTTGAGGGTAAATGCTATGAGACAAAGAACAGAATGGTTTTGTTACACCTTGAAATAAAATAGCGGTCAATAGGGTCTTCCCTAAGAATGAAGTATTATATGTGTATAAAAATTTGATTTTTGGAAGGGAGAGTCTGAGATTTCATCACAAAGAAAAAAGACATAGAAAGAAAAAAGAGATCTCTGAGAACACTGAGAGAAAATTCCACAATTTTGAATTAGAGTAGACTAGAGTAGAGAAAAGGAGGGAACTAGACTACAGGGAAGGATTCCTGGTTCCCGTAATCTCCCACATATTGGAGATCATCAAGAAATTGCCCTATCTTTCCAGAATAGGTAGATAGAGCAAAAGAAAAATTCTTTGTTATCAAAGCTGATAAAGAGGAAGGAGTAACTTGTTTCTCTTAATGTTTACTTTCTGGACTGGAATTCAGTCTTCTCTACCATTTCAGCAAAACCAACCAACCCAAACCAAAACAAAACCAAAGACTTTTAACTGTGTTATATCAATATTATCTTTCTTTCTCTCTAGCAATGGCAATAAAGCAAAAACCTGAATTAGAGCTCTATGAAGTAGTTCACCCTAAAAAACTACACATTTTACACACAAGGAAGATACAAGACAACAAGACAGAGAATGGCAAAGAGGTAAGCAATGTGAATGACTCCAGGATTTTACAAAGAACCAATAAAGAGCCTTTTTACTCATAGAAGCGATGTCTAATAGTTTACTTTTGAAGCCCATATCCACAGCCACCCGTTGTCCAGGAAAAAATGCTGGATTTCTTAGAATGATTTTACAATTAAGCTGTAGGAAGGGAGTTAACTGGTTCACTTGCTCAGAAAGAATAAAGTGGGTTGGACATCTCTCCATGTTTAGAGGATAGGGAGAGAGCATAGGAAGACAGTCATTTCTAGAAGGTATTTCTTTTTTTTTTTAATNCATTGTCTCTCTCTCTCTCTGTCAGAAAAAAAAAAAAAAAAAAAGAGTACTTAAAGGAACTTTTTAAAGTTTTATTTGTGTAATTTCTATACCCCACGTGGGGCTCAAAATCACAAACCTGAGATTAAGAGTCACATGCTAATCCAACTGAGCCAGCCAGACACCCCTAAAAGAATTTATTTTAATGTTTATTTCCTTATTTTGTACTCAGTCATGATCTCATGGTTTATGAGTTCAAACCCTGCATGGGGCGCTGCACAAACAGTTAGGAACCTGCTCGGGATTCTTTCTCGCTCTCTGCTCCTTTCCCGCTCATGTGCACATTCTCTCCTCTCTCTTAAAATAAACAAACTTAAAAAAAATAGTTTATGGAGAATGGTCTAAAAGAACAAAATTAGAGCATTTAACCCTCTCAAAATAAAGAAATAAACATTAAAAAAATTCCTTTGGGGTGCCTAGCTGGTTCAGTTGGAAAAGCATGTGACTCTTAATCTTAGGGTTGTGATTTTGAGCCCCACATGGGGTATAGAAATTACTTACACAAATAAAACTTTAAAAAAAAAGTCTTTTAGAGAGCAAGCAAGGGATAGAGATGGAGACAGAAAATCCTAAGCAGGTTTCATGCAGTGAGCACCTAGCCCCATGTGGGGCTTGAACTCATGAACCATGAGATCATTACCTGAGCCAAAATCAAGAGTCAGATGCTTAACCAGACATCCCAGGAATCTTTTTCAAATGCACATCATAAAAAATTTAAACTTTCTTTTGAGAGAATTTAATATCTGAAAAAACAATGGCTTTACACTAGGCAACATTGCTTACATTTTGTATCACTGCACAAACATTAGTTATAAATGTTTCTATCTCACTTAATTATGTGAGAACTTTAATCTATTTTATTTTCTATAGAACCATTCCTAGGTCATTGAATTGATCTTTAATGTTCATTAAGGTATATATAGAGTATCACAATATTTTCTCACCTAACCCATAGTGATTGCATTTGTAATCAATTTTGCTTGGAGTAAAATAAATAACAACAAAATTATATATAACATTTTTTCATTTTCCAAAAGTCAATAGTGAGAGTGCTTTTCATGTACAATGATTCTTTATTGAATTATAATTGACATGAAATATTAGTTTCAGGTGTCCAACATAGTGATTCAAAATTTTTACACTTTATGATATGATCACCTTGATAGATCTAGTTACCGTATGTCACAATACAAAGTTATCAGTATTTACTACATTCCTTATGCTGTCCATCAATCCTCATGACTTACTTATTTTATAAGTAGAAGTTTGTACCTCTTACTTCCCTTCACCTATTTCACCCAACCTCCAACTTCCTCTCCTCTTTGGCAACTGCCAATTTGTTCTCTGTATCTTGAGTCCATTTCTGTTTTGTTTTGTGTGTCCTTCTGTTATGTTTTTTTAGATTCCACATACAAGTGAAAGCATACAGTATCTGTCTTTGTCTTACTTATTTCACTTAGCATATACCCTTTAGGTCGTCCATATTGTCACAAATGACAGGTTTTCATTCTTTTTTTATTAGTGACCGAGTAATATTTCTATAGACCACATCTTCTTTATCCATTCTTCCATGGGTAGACATTTAGGTTGCTTCCATATCTTGGCTATAGAAAAATGCTGTCATGAGCAAAGAGATATACGGAACTTTTCACATTAGTGTTTTCATTTTCATCAGATCAAGAGCCCAAATCAGATCATGATTAGTGGATCACATTGTAGTTCTATTTTTAAGGTTTGGAGGAAACTTCACCCTGGCCTCCACAGTGGCTGCACTGCTTTGCATTCCCGCCAACAGTTTACTCTTCTTCACATCCTCTAAGACACTTGTTATTTCTTGTCTTTTTGATAATAGCCATTCTGATAGCTGTGAGGTTTTTTCTCACTGTCATTTTGATTTGCAGTTCCCTGAAGGTTAGTGACATGGAGCATCTCTTCATGTGTCTGCTGGCCATGTGGATGTCTTCTTTCAAGAAATGTCTATACATGACTTCTGTCCACTTTTTTATGGGGCTGTTTGTTTTTTGTCGAGTTCTATGGATTCTTTTTATACATTTTGGATATTAACTCCTTGTCATTGTATCACTAACAAAGATCTTCTATTTGGTAGATTGCCTTTTCATTTTGCTGATGGTGTCCTTCACTGTGCAAATGCTTTTTTGTTTTTAATGTTTTATTTATTTCTAGGAGAGAGAGAGAGAGAGACAGCGTGAGCAGGGGAGGGTCAGAGAGAGAGGGAGACACAGACTCTGAAACAGGCTCCAGGCTCTGAGCTGGCAGTCAGCACAGAGCCCGACACGGGGCTCGAACCCACAAACCGCGAGATCATGACCTAAGCGAAAGTCGGACGCTTAACCAACTAAGCCACCCAGGCGCCCCTCTAGAAGGTATTTCTTGCCAAGTTCACCAAACCTATGTCTCTCCCCCGCCCCCAACTCACCTCCTGCCCCACTGAATCACTTTTTCCGTGGTCATCTTGTCTGTGATGGAGAGCTCAACATTATCTCATTAAGTGGTACGATTTATAAAATTTATTAAAGAAGGGCTCCTGGGTGGCTCAGTCGGTTAAGCATCAGACTCTTGGTTTTGGCTCTCAGGTTATGATCTCACGGTTCTTGAGTTCTAGCCCTGCATCAGGCTCTATGTTGGCAACGCAGAGCTTGCTTGGGATTCTCTCTCTCCCTATCTCTCTCTCTGCCCCTCCACTGACTCATTCTCTCTCTCTCACTCTCTCTCTTTCTCTCTTAAAAATAAATTAATTAATTTAAAAAATTTAATTTGTTAAAGATATTAACTGACTATTACATTGTTGCAAATAGTTACAACTTTTACTTTTTAAATAATTTTTACTTTATTTAGTTCTTAGTAGGTTTTTAGTTGGTTTCCTTTAGTATATTTGGTTTGGTTTTAAAGTAATAAAAATATGTGCCTTATTATTATATCATTAGTGATCAATTAGGATACACAGGACAGAAAACTGTAGAGTAGGGCAAATAATAACTCCCTATCTTACATCATAGAACTAGTTAATCTGTGGACATTATTGAATATCTTTTAATAATAATAATAATATTGAATATTATTGAATATATTGAATAAGTGTATTACTTATCACTATTACTACATTATTGAAATTTTTGTAAATCCATCTTAATGTACAATTTATGTTTCATTTTATATATTTTGAATACATAAAAGAACTATTTTATCCTACATACATTTGTAATTATTCTTCTATAAATATTACATGTATCATTTAATATAATATAATATAAATTGATATAATTTTTATACCAGAAAGATAATTGATATCAGAAATATAAATTGATATCATTTTATTATTAAATATTTTTAGGAAAGATATGAACCTGAACTTCAGTATCAGATTACATTAAATGGAGAAGAAGTTGTTCTTCACCTACAAAAAAGCAAGTAAGTTGTACTTCTTGAGTCTAACCCATAGATTATGTGAAGAGAATGTGGAAAAATACACCTTCTTAAGACTCTATTTAGTGTGATTTGAGATAGAAGATATGAAGTAAGTATGTTGAGTTTTAGATGTTACTAGACTGTGCTAATGTTATCTAAGAAGGTTGATGCTTTCTGAGGAAATTACATGCAAAGTAAAAAAGCAAAGAGAGGACCCAAAGATAAATGCCTTTCTTCCTTCATACCTCTCCTGATTTACCGAAAATCTTTTCTACCCAGATAAACTCAAATTTTTTATGTGACTTCCCATTACTTTTATAAGAACATATGTGGGACGCCTGGGTGGCTCAGTCAGTTGAGTGTTGACTCTTGATTTCAGCTCAGGTCATGATCCCAGTGTAATGGGATCAAGCCCCACCTCAGTCTCTGAGCTGAACGTGAAGCCTGCTCGAGATTTCTCTCTCTCTCTCTCTCTGCCCCCTCCCCTTCTGGCACTCCCTCTCTCAAAAAAAAATAAAGAACATATGTAAGGGTTATTCAAGGCATACAGCCTTGAGATAGGTCCCTGGGGACGGGGCTCTATCAAGTCCTACATTTGTCAGTAAACTTCTCCCTGAAAACAATGGACTTTTATGCCTATTTGTGACCCAGAACCCTTCAGAGACCCTGTGGAGACTGTGTCCTTGGTGTGAAGAATCCAAAAATAACCCATCTGAGGACAGAGAATTTGCAGTTGAAAAGTATCTGGGGGCATTTCTTCCCTTGGACCTAGTGAGTATAACTGAGGCTTTGATTTGCTTCAGCAGCAGAGTTTCAATGTCAGAAAAGGATCAGTGGGTCAGAAAGTCTGCTTTCTCATCGTAGACACAATCATTCTTTTTGTGCTGAAGATTATGTGAGGAACATTAGCCCTTATTACCACTTTCAGTGTATCATGCAACTCTTTGAACTTTGCAGACATCTCTTGGGGCCAGACTACACTGAAACATATTACTCATCCACAGGGGAGGAAATCACGACAAGCCCTCAGAACATGGTAGGTTCTGACTGCATTCTGGGACACTTTCTGGGATCTGCTACTTATGTTGTAAGATGTATAGATGCATGGACAATTAAAAAGAAATTGAAAGACTAGGAGGAAAGGTACCCATCTATGACCAATGAGAACAAATGAAAAAATCAGAGTTGGCTTTTTTAAAAGGTAAGGATATAGTAGGAGGCTTCCAAGTAGTATATTTGTAGAAACAACTACAAGTTCACTTTCCCTTAGACCATCTTATCAAAAGGTTAGAAATATTTTCCCCAGTAGGTACTTGAAAAGTCATATAGCTATTTACTCTTTTTGAACAATACATGCATGTATCCTCAGGTCAGAAATGGGATATCAATTACTTAATGAATATAAGGTTATATCTTGTTAAACTACCATACTATAGATAATGCCAAAGCCTAGATGTCAAACATACAAAATCAATGCCAAGGGAAGAGCAGGGAGAGAATACAGAAAGACCCAGTCATGGAGTATTAAGAATCTAAATGAGTTTCTCAGAGCTGCTCTCCTTGGGCACCCCAAAACATTTACGTACCTATAAAAAGACAAAACTTCTGTCACACAATTGCTCTTTGTTCCCTTCTCACATCAAAACTCTCATTTCATGGATATCTGGATTTTTGCTAAGATTTAAATTAATCCATTCTCAAATGTGAATGGCTGATATTATCTGAATTTGGTACTTTTTCCAAATCCTCTACAAGAAAATGTTTATGATGACAAAGTTTCTTCCAAATGCAAGAAAAGCACAGATGGAATTTCAGACCCTGAGGTCAGTCAGTTTATTTTGAATAAGAGTTTCCTCAATGGCTTGTTGGCTCCTTCTACATTAAGTGACCCCTATTTTGCTCATATGGAGTACTGACTGTGTCTGAATCTCTAGTTATGGACAGATTCTCTGTGGTTTTGATGCTGGTAAAGGGATTCCACTAACCCACCAATTAAAATGATGAGTTGGACAAACTAATATGAGGGGCTCAGGAGTGGTAGCATGGCTTCTTGAGGACCTTGGTATCTAGAAAAATGGGTACCTCATTTTATATACAGGTGACAAATAGTATCTTAAGCACTCAGCCCAGGGAAGCCAAACTCTCAAAAGTTGGTCCTCAAGCCTGAGAGCTCTTTGGAAACATTCTTGAACCCGGGGGGCTGGCCACGTCTCAGATGCAGTGTCCAAGTTCACCATGAGCTCGCTTAGGTTCATACTCCCTGGACTTTTCTTTTGTGCAATGAGTTCCAGAAAGACAGCCCAGCCATCAAAGATGGAGTTTTCAGGGTGAGTAGTGGAGAAGTTCATAAAAATCTCTGAAGTTTTCACTGTCTCTGTGTCTGGGAACCGGTCTGGCCACTGCCACTATTTGAAGAATTTTCCTACGTATTCAAAATAACAGCTTTCACCACAACTGTGATACATTTATTCTGACAGTTAAAAAAATATATATTTCTTTTTTTCGACTTTAGGAACACTGCCACTATAAAGGACACATACTAAATGAAAAGGATTCTGTTGCCAGCATTAGTACTTGTAATGGATTGAGGTGAGAGCCATTTGCAAAAATATTAGACAGCAAGCACCGTTCTATTGCACTGAATTGAGTCTTCCTAGACATCGTGTCTTCCTATCTTGGTAAAATCTCCTGCATGGGTAAAATGCTATTAACATGAAGAATAAGGTATCACTCTTGCAATCATTTTATAATCTGTTAAAATTATGTTTAACATAGTTTTGAGAGTGTGTGTGTGCACACACGGACTCGTGTGTGTGACCTTTCTGTTTACAAAGATAATTCTTGCCAATTAGGAGGAGTTTGGGAAGTGAAAGAAAGCACAAATAAAAAAATAGCCACTGCAAAATTGTGCTTATAAGTGACATTATCATTAACACTTTGTCATGTTTGCAGCCTTTGGCCTATAGACATATATCTTCATTGTGTGATATCATAAGCATTTTCCCATATCATGAAATCCCTTCATAGATGTAATGTTTAATGACTATCTATGCTGTAGCTGTAACACTCCATCATATGAATTCACTTTATGTTTCTGAATTGATTTACTTACTAAAAAGTAAAATTCTCTAAGCTACTATTAGTACCAACCTGTTCCTCTGGCTGATTTGCTCATCATTTTTTCTCTTCTCTGGGGTTTTTAGTATCTCAATCCTCCTTTACTCTATCCTCCATTATATTCTTCAGAGTTTTCCAAGAAATATTTGCTAAGTGTGTAAATAAACTAGGGACAAATATTCATTGAACTTCTGATACAAATTTCAAATTCTTTGGGATAGCTTCATCTTAGCAATCCTTGTTTAGAATTGTTTAGTAAATAATGTAACGCTCATTTTATTCTTGACAAGTATGAGTTATAATTTAAGTTAACGAAAGTTAGCTGGAAGACTTCTGAATGAAAACTGTCCATGTGAACTTAGGATTTAGGGAGAGTTGTACTACATTCTGGTCAGTATTGTGACTGTTGTAGCAGAGAATCTTGAAATATGATTCTTTGTATTTCACAGAGGACACTTCACATATCATGACCGAAGATATATGATAAAGCCTCTGAAAAGTACAGACCAAGAAGAACATGCTGTCATCACCTATAGCCAAGAAGATCTTGACCTGGCTAATCACACATGTGGTGTAAGAAATGTTGGCAGGAAACACGGCCATATTCGAACCTCTAGGTCACTCAGTAGCCCAGAGGTAAGTGTAGCTTTCCTATGTCATCCTTTTTCCCACTGTCTCAGCAATGATATATGACATACCATTGTGTTCAACAGTTACTGGGATGGGTAAAGGCTATAATTCATTTACCAATTCTTTCACCGAATTTCCCCCTGGTTTAAAAAAAAATCTTATTGTAACTTTATCCAGTCTTTTAGGATAAACATGATTATTAATGATGTTATTTTACTCTTTGTAAAGCAAGAAGACTTTCTTCAGGCTAAGAAATACATTGATCTCTTTTTGGTGCTGGATAATACCTTTGTGAGTACAAAATATGGGTGCTTCTGGGGCAGTTAAGTCAACTGTTAAGATTTCTTATCCAGTGAACACAAGCAATAAGCTATTCTAGCTGAAAACATAGACCCTGTCCACCTGATTGTCATGCCTTTTCTACCTGCCTTGTCGGCACTAGTTCTCACTTACCTACCCACTTTGATGTCCACCTGCTTTCAGTATACTCAGGTATTGGAAGCATACTTAATACTAGATAGCTACAAGAAATTAATAATTTAAATTTGAAGAATAATAATGAAATGAAAAATTTAATGAAAAATAATGAAAAATTTAAAGAATGGGTTGTTTTAATATTTTTAAAATTCTCACTCCATTATTAAATATAAAACAGATACAAAACTATATACAATTTATAAATTATATTTACAAAAACACTAGGATCTGTGATTCTAACTTAGCAAATATCGCCTTCTAATCAAATTTTAATAATATTGAGTTAGTTAGAACATTGAAATTGTTCCTTTGATCTCTTCACTCTTAGAAATGAAAACCCTGAAATATATACAAATGCCTCCTCTTTTCCTTACTGAAGAATTCTTACATTTAAAAAGAATTTGTTGAAGCACAGAGTGTTATACAAGTTAGACATGAATGAATACGCATTTACTGATGTTGAAATCTGTAATTTTTCTTCAAATGTTAAATCTTGAGCCACATCAACTTTATTTTTTAGTTATGTTTGCATTTTGTATTTTACAGTATAACATATATAAGGGGAATCTAACTTTGATAAGAAGCTTTTTGTTTGATGTGATGAACCTACTCAATGTGGTAAGATATTTGTCCTGTGAATGTGTATTTCCACTTAGAAACCTGGGACTTCACCAAAGGAGTTTTCACCCAAGAAATAGTTGGGAGGGTCACAGTGGCTGAACATCAGCAGTTTTGGGAGATTTAGCAGGCAAGGATCAGCAAGTTAAAATCACATATACTGTAGCAAAGTCAACTTCAAGGATTTCTATTTTCAAAATGGGATACACTTATCCATCACTTGTGGTCAGCAAAAGATCTAAGACAATACAGAAATCGCAGACATTTTCATGAAAAAAAAAATGCTCTTCCCACAGATCTATAATACAATAGATATTCAAGTGGCATTGGTAGGTATGGAAATCTGGTCTGACATTGATAAGATCAAGGTGGTACCCAGAACAGGTGTCACCTTTACCAACTTTCTGAATTGGCATCATTCCAATCTGGAGAAAATGAAGGCGCATGACCACGCACAGTTACTCAGGTGAGCACATGCCGGCCAGGGCAAGGTGTATGTAGGCAGAGTGGATAGTTATCCCGAAGGGTTCTTGGCAGAGATTTCTGTTCAATTTTATCTCCCCAAGCCTTGTCAGGGAGCCTGAAGTTCTCCCATTAAGAATGCATCAGTAGGAATTTGGAGACTCATGTTAGGTCACTAAAATAGACTCCTGGATGTGGGATAACCATCTGTGATTATTATAATGCTATGGAGTAGCAGAAGATTTTATGCGGCCTACTGAATATGAAAAGAGTAGAGAAACAGGAAATCTAAACATAATTGACAAAAGCTAATGGTTCCAAAGACTTACATTGTGACAATATGCCTATAACTTTCACACAGTGGAATTGGCTTCAACAATCGACATGTAGGAATGGCAGCCTCGAATTCCTTGTGCTCCCCATCTTCAGTTGCCGTTATTGAGGTTGGTAAACTCATAGTAAGGCTCCCTGTGGTTCTGTATCCTCTATGATAAACCAGAATAATGCCTTATACAGAGTTAGCACAATGAACGTTTGCTGAGTTGGTAAATAAAAGTAGAAATAAAACTACTGGTAGGTCATTACACTGAAGATAACTTGGATTAGGAAACAGAATATTTCCTTAGACTGGTCCTCCTGGAAGTACTCATTCTTTAGTTGGTATTAGGGAATAAAAACAGGAAATTGGAACAGAAAGGGCACCCAGATGCCCTCTGTGGCCTGAGCCAACTTCAAATTAATCATCTTCAGTATCAATGGCCAGAGAGGTAAGTCAATGTGGATTTTGGAGTCATTTGGCCATATGCTACCCATGTCAAGCATTCTGGCAATTGTTTTTGGAGGCCTTTGAAAACGTAGTATAGTACTTCCTATGAAGAACGTAATTACTTCAATTTAATCATGGTTTACCAAGAACTCCTCACTAGCTTAGCAAATATTTTTTTTAATGTTTTATTTATTTCTAGGAGAGAGAGAGAGACAGTGTGAGCAGGGGAGGGTCAGAGAGAGAGGGAGTCACAGACTCTGAAACAGGCTCCAGGCTCAGAGCTGGCAATCAGCACAGAGCCCGACGCGGGGCTAGAACCCACGAACCGCGAGATCATGACCTAACTGATGGTTGGATTCACAGAAGCCAACCAGTTCAAATGTTATTCAATGTTTTACAATAACCAATGGCAAGGAAAAGAGCTTACTGACTCATTACTTTGCATCTGTCAAACTATTTTTTTTAAAATAACTGAAAATACTAAGTAATAGATGTTTCTGGGCTTTTTGTTTTGTTTTGTTTTGTTTTTGTTTTTTTTTTCCAGGCTAAGAAAAAGAATAGTGTGGCTCTTGTAGGAGTGATGTCACATGAGTTGGGTCATGTCCTTGGTATGCCTGATGTTCCATATTACACCAAATGTCCCTCAGGGAGTTGTGTGATGAATCAATATCTGAGGTGAGACTTTGTCACCTTTGAGAAGAAATATATATTTCTTAAATCTTAAAAAAGTCAGATGCAGTCTATATAGTGAACAGATTTTTTTTTTTTATCAAGGAATATGAATTCCATTAATTCACACTCCAGCCTATTGATGCACATGTTTTACTAGCTTATCAGGACTCATTACTTCAGATTTCCAAGTATGTCAAGTTAGAGATTTTGAGTATGGTAACCATGTTATTTTAACTTAGAATAATGTTTAATGGGCAAGATATGAAAGCAACCCATATGTCAATCAATAAATGAATAGATTAAGAAAATGCAGTTTGTGTGTATATACGTATATATATGTATACACACACACACACACACACACACACACTGCATTTATATACCTATATAATGAAATATTACTCAGTCATTAAGAAGAATGGAATCTTGCCATTCATGTCAATATGAATGGACATAGAGGGTATTGTGCTAAGTGAAATAAATCAAGGAAAAAGATGAATGTTGTACTATTTTATTTATAAGTGGAAGTTAAAAAACAAACCAATGAACAAATTAACAAATGAACAAGCTAATGAACAGACAAAAACAAAAATATACTCATAAATACGGAGAACAAACTGGTGGTTGCCAGAAAGGGGAGGGGAAGAGGATGGGCCAAATAAGTGAAGGGGATTAAGATGTACCAACTTCTATTAAATAGTAATATTTTTCTTAAAATATATTAATTAAGATGACGACAACATTCTTATATATCCCCATCACTAATCACTCAATCCATTTTTATGTTATTATTAATTATCTTCCAATGCCAGGAAATTTGCAAGGGCTTGGGATAGAAAAATGAAAAAAAAAACTTTTCTCTTGAAAGTGTTCATGAATAGGAAGAGAATATATCCATAGAATTGGTTCATTCATCACTCCTGCCATTTAGGAGAGTGCTGAATCCATACAGGAGTTTAAATTCTTCCAGTTCTACAAGCTTAGTGTCTCGGAAAACAATTTTCCAACTAGCATAGTATTTATGCTCTTTTGTCCTCTCCATATAACATAGTGCAGTCCTAAAAAGATACTGAATTTGGAATTTCCATTGAACCAGGGGATGTAGTTAGACAAGCCAGAATCTCACTATATATCATAACTTTTCTTCTCGTTACAGCTCAAAATTCCCAAAGGATTTCAGTACATCCTGCCGTTCACATTTTGAGAGATACATTTTATCAAAAAACCCAAAATGCCTGCTGCAAGCACCAATTCCTAAAAATATAATAACAAAGCCAGTGTGTGGGAACCAACTTCTGGAAGTGGGAGAGGATTGTGACTGTGGCCCTCCTAAGGTATGAAAATATCCACAGTTTAAAATTTTATTATAGAGTTTTTGCAGCATGAGAATTATGCTGTTTTCTTTTCCTTCTTTAAAAATGTTCTTTTGGTAATTCTAAAGATAAGCTTGGCGTCATAATAAAAAAGTAGGCTTGTGCTTGTGTTTTTAACACTGACTTTATACTTATTTTGAAAAACGTTTCTTTTTTTATTTACTTTATTTTTTTATTTTTATTTTTTTACAAATAGTTTATTGTCAAATTAGTTTCCACATAACACTCAGTGCTCATCCCCACAAGTGCCCTCCTCCATGCCCATCCCTCCCTCCCCCCACATCCATCAGTCCTCAGTTTTTGTCAGCATTCAAGAGTCTCTCATGGTTTGCCTCTCTCCCTTTCCCCCACCATTTCCCCCTTCTTCTCCCCCTTGTTCCTCCGTCATGTTCCTCCTAATCCTGCTATACGTGCAAACATATGGTATTTGTCCTTCTCTGCCTGACTTATTTCGCTCAGCATAACACCCTCAAGGTCCATCCATGTTGCTACACATGGACAGATTT